GCTACGTTTGAAGTAATTTCTTTCAGTGAGATGTAAGATTATATAAATTATAATTTCAGTACTCGAATATAGACATAATCGTGAAACTAAGAATTCAACAACCTTATTTAAACACACACACACAAATATTTTATGCTACATTGTGTAGTTTACTACTTTGAATATCCAATAAGTTTGACGTTTATGTCGGCCACGTTAGTCTTAGGTAACTTGTCAAGTAATTACCCTTGCTTATAGTTAAGAATAAAACTCGCAATTCGCTTATATTTTCATTTCTGTTTCAAAGCCTCTCCTTCCCATTCAGCGGTATGTCTGAGGGCTCACACCGCGAAAAACCGGGTTTCGATACTCGTGGTGGGCGCAGCACAGATAGCCCATGGTGTAGCTCATAGCGTCGCTCTTGACAACAAAGAAAGAAACAAACTGTTTCAAAGAAAAAAACCTGATAAGTAACTTACCCATAACTGTACGATCCAGCTCCGTAACTTACCCATAACTGTACGATCCAGCTCCGTAATTTACCCAGAACTGTACGATCCATCTCCGTAATTTACCCATAACTGTACAATCCAGCTTCGTAACTTACCCATAATTGTACGATCCAGCTCCGGATTTTTCTCGATTTCCTTCTCGCTCGGGAAGAGAGTGTGATAATGACATTCAGCTGCGAAAAAAAAACCAAAAAACAATAACTGATTAGCATCGTAGTAAAGCATTTTGGTCTGAAGAGCTTCGTCTTCTTATGGAAACTTAAAAATATCTACATCTTAAGTTTACTTATCTGAATCGTATTTGTCACCACTAAGAACTGATTCTAATTCCCTACTAACGCTTTCGATTAATTTTATGACTAATTATTTCAGCTTTAATTTAGAATATTAAAAGAGAAAGGTGTTAGAAACTAATTAACCATCAACTTTTCATTTTCTTTTGGGAGTAATAAGGATAATCTTCGAATGAAAGCAATAAAACTTGGAGCAGTAACAAACTTCATAATCAATATAAGACCCCGAGATAAGCCCTTGTACGGTCCAAAATTAGCATGCTGAAACGTCTGAGCATGAAGGCCATCTAAGAATATTAGTAGTTATACGCGAGTGTTATATTGACGTAATATTTACTAACAGGACCAACTTCTTCTCTATAATTATTTATAAAATTCATTTGGTGACTTTTTCAAGGAAATCTATTGCAGATAGAAGATTTACTAAAGGAATAAGTTTTCACTTTTTTATTGTTGGATTAATTATTTTACAACACTATTGTAATATAGTTTTACACTTTTTATTTATTGTTGGATTAATTATTTACAACACTATTCTAATATAGTTTTACACCTTATATTTATTGTTGGATTAATTATTTTACAACACTATTGTAATATAGTTTTACACTTTTTATTTATTGTTGGATTAATTATTTTACAACACTATTCTAATATAGTTTTACACTTTTTATTTATTGTTGGATTAATTATTTACAACACTATTGTAATATAGTTTTACACTTATTTATTTATTGTTGGATTAATTATTTTACAACACTATTATAATATAGTTGTCATGGTGAACAGTCTATACGATAGCCTCAACCTAATTACTAATTAATCTCTGATTTTTTGTAACTAGTTATTGGCTAATTTACGTTCTTTGTTTCAGCTTCTAATCTACTACTACCATTCACAGGATTATCCATCAAGTTAGCAGCCTAAAGCTGTTAGTATTGGAATTAGGCGATCCTATAGACCACTCACTAGGACAAGTAGATAAGATAAACTTTTAACTATATTTCACAGTGCTAGTTCCATCATGTTTGAAACTAGGCTTACTTAAAAACATCAAAGGTCTTTAACAGAGTAAGATAATAATACAGAGAGGCCCAAAATTATCTTTCCTATTTTAAAATTTAATAACTAACTAACTAAGGAAATTCAACCGTGTAGTTTTCAGCATCTTGTACCCCAACTCAAACAGTTTTTAATGACATGCCAGTAGACTTCTACGTGTGCATCATTAATGGCTCTCAGCTCGTTTGACCGATATTCGATTTCAGTCCACGTTCGCTGCAACATGTCCATAATTACAGTGGCGATGACGTCCGTTATCCTGGTCTTGAGCTCCAGGATGTTTGTTATAGCTGTGCGATACACGATATCCTTAGCATACCCCCATATTTCTTTCCTGTACTGGCGTCTGTAATCACGTGGCACCACAGTCACTGACTTAATCTCTGCAAGCCAAGCGATGCATTAAGCCTTTTCTTGCACGGTTGGCGTTTTAATTATTGGAATGAATATAAAAAAAACATATCAATAAAAAATGTTTGGGTTGGGCTACAATAAGTTGAAAACTGCATGGTTGTGTTCCTTAGTTATTTAATTGTTAAATTTTAAAATACAAAAGATGATTTTGGGCCACTCTGTACTATGATTCTTGTTTTACACTTCTCACGGCAAAGAAGCTAAAACATTAACTTTAAAAAATGGGGTTACTTTTATCCAATAATATTCCTACTTATATTCTTTTTTTATCTCTTATGTACCAAAAAATTAAGGAAAAAAATGCGTCATGGAGAATCAAAAAATGATCTGTCCCAAGACTGTGATGAATTTCAAAGTATTTAAAATTCTCAAATTAACTCTTTAACATTTACTAGCCAAGCAGAGTAAATAGCTGAGTTATTTGAAAATCTTTTTTCAGAATGAGCTGATTGTTTATAATTAAACAGAAAGCTACAAGATGAACAATAGATAATCAGTGCTGTGCCAACCGCGGCTATCGAAACCCGATTTTTAGCGTTATAAGCCCCACACTTTTCACGTTAAGCCGCTGGAGTGGGGGGTGAGGATAAGTATGAAAAAATAGAGCAAGTAAAAAGACACGTCGATTGTAAATATGTCAAAAAAGAATGGCATACGCGTCCGTATACAAAATGGGAAAACCATAATAATAATAGTCATTGTCCTGAAGCCTAACCTGAAAATAGATAAAACCGCATAGGTTTGTTTGCTTCTTGTTAAGCGCAATGCTACATAATAGGCTATTTGTGCTCTGATAACCACGAGTAACAAAAATCTGACTTAACATTGAGCCACTAGGGGACAAATCGCATAGAAGATTCGAAAAACCTTTATTGATGATAATGTCATAAATCGCCAAATCGTTCTGATACTTTATAAACTTACCATTTCTTTGTGTATTTTCCCTCCGAAACCTAGCTCTGAATACAAACCTTTTTCTTTCTTGGTCACTTCGTTGTAAATTTATTCAGTAACTTCGTGAAGAATTTTAGGTTTGGTTTATTGTTATACAATCGGCCTTGTACTGTTTTTTTCATATAGCTCAGTTTATGTATAGCTTTTAAAATGAGAAGTTTCCAGAAGCGCCATTTAGAAAATATAATTTTTCCATTTATAACGTCACTAACACTGACGATGAGTTGGACCCTATCACAACAATAACTAACTCTTGATGTCTAATAATAAATAAATATAATATAATATAAATAAATGATAAATAATATAATAAATAAATATAATTAATATAAATAAAATAAATAAATGATAAATAATATAATAAATAAATATAATATAATATAAATAAAATAAATAAATGATAAATAATATGATAAATAAATATAATATGATATAAATAAAATAAATAAATGATAGATAATATAATATAATATAAATAAAATATAATAAATAAATATGATAAATATAATATAAATATAATAGTATAAATAATAAATAAATACATAATCAATAAATATGATAAATATAATATAATAAATAATAAATAAATACATAATAAATGAATAAATATAATATAATAAATAATAAATAAATACATAATAAATG